TTTATCAGATCAAACTGGCCATCGAATCTGGAAGATGCACAATTTGGGTTTCTAGTGTTCAAGCCGTCTGTTCATATTGGTTGAATTGGATTCTATAATTTCTTTGGTTGTTGTTACAATGACCATATATTTTATATGCTTCTTGTCTGTCTCAGTCATTTCTGAGAAGTAATCATGGTCTGGAGCACTATTGAAAACAGTGATGAAAAGCGGTGGTAATAAGCGGAAGCGGCTTTTGGCCACTTCAGTTTGCCTCAAAGTGGTGGTAAAAGTTGCTAGTGGCGCTTTTTGCTCGAAAGGGTGCGAAGAAGCAAAGAAAAGTAACGAAAAGTGCTAAAAAGCTGAGAAAAGCTCTTAATAGCGCTTTAAAACGCTTAATTAAAATGTGGATGATAATAAATGGGTCTCAATGTTGCACCTGACCCGACCCAGACCCATTTTACAGCCTAAAATCCCGTCCCACTGTTCCTCTTTCTCTTTCTTTGTTAAGAACCTGAAAAGACTTAAGACATCCTCCAACTCCACCACCTCCCACCATCAATTCTGCCTTAGGAGCTTCTCCCATCTCCACCACTGCCTCAAGTACCTTCTCCCGCCGCCTCTTACCATCCTCCACTGCCTTTCTTGAGCTTTCATCATTTCCAACAAGCTCTAGCAAGCTCCTTATTGAAGCTTCAGTATGCTACTCCCTCTCATCCACCGCCTTGACAAAGCACCAATTCTTTGTTAATATTGTGTGCTTGTTACACATCTATTTCATGCTTAGGATATCTGTAAATCATCAAATATGCATTTGTAGATTTTAAAGATTTTTTTCTTAATTTTCTGAACATTTATTTGTAAATAAACTTGACCTTTTTTTGCTTGATGCTTTTTTATGCTTTGATCTGCTTAAGTCCCAAAAGCCTAAGCGGTACCTCAACACTCGATCTGCTTTCCACTTTCCACCTTCCACTTTCCACAACCTAGTCAGGAGGTATTAGTTCTTTTTTATTGACTTAGTTCAGTTCCTGTTTGCAATAACTTTAGTTACGAAATAGCTATTGTCTTACTAAATCGTTCATTTCACTCTAACCTGTTTGACCCTGTGAACTGGCTAGTTCACCCAGATATTGGCCAATTCCTGTTCTCCGATCCAAATTGCTGGCTTCAGTCCTGTCCATATGACACTTGCCTTTTATAATGGTTTTTTTTCCTTTCTTTCAGTTCTGTGATCATTGACTTAAAAATTATGGTTGCTATGCAGAATATTCGTCTTTGAAAAAACATTCCTATCATCATACTTTCCAGAACTTTTCTTTCACTGTTAATAATAATTTGAGCATCTTGAAAAGAGTAACGTTCCCATATGTTAAAGCCTTCCCGCCATGTGTCAATTTTTAAGCACTTTTTTCCAACTTGAGTGACAACTGGAAAAAAGATGCTTGATAGCTGAGGTGGTGATAGCAGTGATGACAATTGGAGTGGTCAAACGATAAATTCTAACCTTTCCCAGTTTAAGTCAATAAGTCGGCCTTCCTCCTTTAATGATTATTGGTTGGTCTGAGCTGATCTTAAAAGAATTAAGCTGGTTAATCATCTCTTTAGATCTTTACAAAGGATGATGCGCGAGTCTCTCTTTCTTCCTCTCTTCCTTCTTTTCCTTTCCCTTTTCCTTTGCTTCATCATTTTCCTATTGCTTTCAATTTCTTCCTTGTTTTGGTTATTCCACCAGGAAGTATGTATTTTTTGCAGATCATTCATGTAATATTTATAAATACTTGGACATTTACATCTGGGCATGTGTGAAACAATTTTTCTGTTTTTCTCCTCTCTGGTTAGAAGAATATGAACACTCTGTATTAGCATCACAAACTGACACTGATTTTTTTTGCCATATCTAAATAACACAGGTCATATGTATGGTTGGGTTATTCTTTTATAGTTTAATAAATTTTGCTCGCTGTAGTGCAGTGGAGACAGGCTTACTTGCATAACATTATTACCGTGGTGTCATTACACCCAATCATATGTATCATATGTGATGCGAAACGGGACAGGTGGTTTATCAGAATCAGCGATCTAAATCAAATAATACTCCGTTTCACTAAATTTCATGATCTTTGGCAGGAAATCAAATTTAAAACAACTAATGTGACTCATGGATTTTAACAAGATTTGCATCGACAATTATGAATAATTCCAATCTCAAACAATTTAATCATAATATTCATTATCATTGCACAAGTTCCACAATCAACATTAAATTTTGACAGTCGCATGCTCAGTTACTCTCAACTCACAAATATAATCTAAACAGTGAATATATGATAAGAGTTTAGAGGTGATATACTCATGCAATTAACTAATAAAAGGAGAATAACAGAAAAATAATTTGAAAGATAAATAGTGCATCAGAAGACTAACAAACGAGGCGGGCGACGACGAACTGGGCGACGTCAACGGTGGCGAACTGAGCGACGATCACGACGTGTGAACTGACGACGACGAGGGTGACGATGAGGACGTCGAACGGGATGACGATGTGGGCGACGACGTTGAATTGGCCGACAACAAAGGCGGCGAACTGAACGCCAACGTGGATGACGACGTCGACTGGACGAATGATGACCCACAAGTAAGCGGCTGTGGAGGAGGATGAGGGATAACTGTGGTTCAGGAGGGGAGACAGGAGGGTCGGGCGGTTGTTCGCTGCTGAAGGGGATCAGATGGAGAAACGCGCTGAGGGAGGAGAGCAGGGACTTTTGGCGCTTGATGAGGCGAGATGAACGTGGCGTGGGCGACTGCTCAGAGATGGGGTTTGGGGCCGATGGGGTTGGAAGGGGAAGGAGATGACTGGAGGCAGGTGGTTTTATGGAAAGGAGGCGGTGGGAATTGGCAGCGGCAGTCTGGGAAATCGACGAGGAGAGAGGAGTGGGCCTGTTGGAGGAGAGAGAGGGGAGGAGTTGGCTAGGGGGTCGGATATTGAGGACGAGGGACGGGAGGTGATGTGTTGTGGGGAGGACGGGGAGAGAGGTGGTCGCGATTGCTGGAGGAAGAGAAGGAGATAAGGCTGTAGGCGGCTGAGTGGGAGGAGGAGGAGAGATGGAGTTTTGAAACTCCTGCGGTTTGTGAACAGGAGGGCAAGGGGGTGGAGATCGGAGGTTGATGAAGAGGAACAGGGAGAAAAATTGAGAAGGAATAGGGAGTGGTAGCCTAGGGTTTCACACCCTTGATGGTTTCATACCAATTAATTAAGCTAACACAATTTTCATTTTTCATCTTCATTTCATAATTCATTCCTGATTACAACAGTGCTTAAATAGAGAAGAATAATATAGATTTGGAAAATCTCACAAAATCAAATCTCTCACAATCAGTAAGTACCAAATCTCACCTACAATTCAAATTTCAAATTAACTACTAAAAACTGAAAATAAAAGAAAACAAATACGGAACTATCATTATTGTCCTCATCAATATGTTTATTTGTGTTAATTTTTGATCCTTTACTTTGTAAATAAAGGAAACAAAACAGTACGTTGCACATTATTGTATATTTGTAAATAAGACAGATGGACGTCAGGTGTTTTCAATCTGTGTTGTGTTCAAAATATTACTAAACTAGACACCATTCATGATTCTAACATGACTAATTACATAAGCCCCAGGGCTCATTACATAAGCCCCTTGTGTTCTTCGCTAATATCCTGCTACGTTAGTCAGTTCCTACAAAGCTATGATCAGATAGGAGAAAAAGGCATCCTTTTGTGGAAAATTTTGTTGTGTATCTTGTGGAATTGCCTATATTATTCGAGTAAAAGAATCTATCCACTGCTCAAAAATAGTTTTCATTTTTGTGTTCTATGAGATGTGTGGTTTATTTCTTTGGTTTGTACTTTAGTAGAAATAGCATTGGTCCTCAACATAAGACGTGTACGATATTTTTCTCCAAGCTTTTAGTATCCATTTTGGGTCCTTTAAAAGATTATGCTGCTATTCTATAATGATTGATGAGTCTGTTTTCCACTTCACAAAATTCAATTGGAAGTTTTGAAAGCATGACATTTAGTTGTTACTATTTTTACCTTCTCATGTTTTTTTCTTCTTCCTGAAAAATGAAATGAAAATGATTTGGTGGATGCAGGCACCATATGTGGATCCTAGGACTAAGCTCCGATATGCAAGTCCAGAAGTTTTTAAGCACATCAGGATGCTTCCTGATGAGCATGTTCAGCGATATCTGACTTTGAGAAATGCAGCTGTCGTTTTAAGATAGTAATTGATATGGGAGAGGAATCTATTATCAAAACAGAGATCTGTATTGAATACTTATTTTGGGGGTCGTTTCAGATGACCATTGTGGGTGTCATATTGGGATGTCATTGTAGATTTGTAGCTCTAATGAATATATTTAGGGGACTCATGACTTGATAAGCATTGAGAAATTTGTAATGATATTTTTTCTCCTAAAACTTCTTTTTATTTAATGCTTAAGATGTCTAGTCGACAGTGTTCATGATTATCAGATGTATTGCTATGAGTTTTGTCTTCTTGTCTTTTCCTTTCTTTTTCAACGCTCATGCAGTTTTATCTGAAAGGGCTTTCTTTGCTGTATGCAATGATCGGCAACATGACAAAGAAATATTTTTTGAACTATGAATCTTCTCCTTACAGTTTTTTTCTTTCAACGAGGACTTCTTATAGGCTTATAACTATGTATAATTATATATCATTTCAGGATCTGCAATATGTGAATGGATGCTTCGACTGATGTTACTGCAGCAGCAACAACATTAAAACCTTTATGCCAATCTCTCTAGCTTTATAAAGGTCTGCATCTGCTGGTAAATTAGCGACCACTCTATATTTTCAGCTATATTTATAGTATTCATTTGACTTATCCTAGTTTCAGCTGCACTTTCAATTTGTTTCTCGATTTATGAGTCTTTTTTATTTTAACCTTTCCCTTTTTTTGTTGGCGAGAGGGGGTATTCTTTCTATATGATCAAATGGTTTTACACATCTTTCAAAATTTTCTTTCTGGCTTGTTTTTGGCTGCTTGTACATATTCCATAGTGCTCGTGCTCTTATAACTTTCTTTTCATCTGGGTTCTCCAAATGCTTGAGAAATTTACTTCCTTGTATATTCCTAAAATTTCCTTCTTACCTGCTTCCTCTTCTGTGCTCGGGTGACTAGCTTATACTCCATGGTATCTACTGATACCTGAAAGCATAGAAGGCTGTTCCAATATCATACTAGTTTCTTCCTAATCATAATTTCTGCATGTTTCATTTATTATTTTTGTCGTATTTCTCCAATAAGCAGGCATGGATATTTGACATATAATTGAAAGTAATTTGATCTCAATTAAATTTATCTTCCATCATCCAGACTAGGAAAATTAAATTTATCTTCCACCATCTAGACTAGGAATGGTTGGTCCAATCACTCTGATTTGCTTTCCTAGAGGGTTGGTGTTCATCCAACGAGATGCAGGAAAAGAAAGAGGCATTGGTTCAGCTATTAATGAAAAAGATCCTTGGGATTATAGCATAAAATTTTCTGTAGTGCTGAACATTTTGAAAGTAAGTGAACAAGAGGTTGAAGAATATCCCGTGCCACTAGGGGTGCAAACAGTTTGGATACGGCTCAGATATGATACTTACTATGTTCGTAGCTGCTTACCAATTATGGATATGGATACTGATATGTCTCGGTAAGGAAAATTCGTCTCCATACCGGCTAAAATTGGATACAAATATGGATATATATGTGGATACAAAATGGATATAAAAAAACCATATAATATAACAAATATAGTTCATATAAAACAAGAGAGTTCATTAATATGTTTGTTCTCTGAAATGCTAAGACTAGATCTCTCTTGATCATGAAAATTAACCTCAAATTTTATTAGTTTGAGGGTAAAAATTACGACAACTGTATGACCAACATATATTCAGATATTTTGGACACGAATCCGGATATTTCACAATATATCCGTAACCATATCCTATCAGATATAGATTTTAGTAACCATATTCGTGTCCTATTGGACTCGGATATAGAAATTTCCTCGGATACGGATATTTTTTATACCCCTACGTGTCCCTGTAATCCCCAACAATTGAAGAGTTGCATTGCAAATAAAACCATTACCTTAGCAGTTTAATTTCTCTTCTATGTTTTTGCAATGCGTAAACTTTGATTAAATGAGGAACTATCTGCTTCAAGATATATGTGGCACACGAGCTAGCTTCCTTTCTCATGTAATCACTGTACGTGGTGATGACCAGTTGCTTTGGGTGACAAATTTCAGGCTCTAATGACTTTCCTATTTGTTAAATTTTCTACTTCTTAGCCATATAGTTTGACTTCTCCTCTTCAAGATGATGCACAATAGAAGAAAACAAACCAAAGATGGAAGTAGATGATAAAAAGGAAGGTGAAATAACTGTAATCTGTACAGTGAATCATCTACACAACTTCTTAAAACTGAAACAAGTAAAAATATTCCAGCAGAGAACCCTACTTGCTTAATATTAAAGATAGAAGGGTTGATGCTCAAAGCAAGCTAATAGCCATTGATGACCATGAAGACAGCTAATTTCAGAAGAAGAAAGTTTAAAAACATGGAAACATGTATCAACATATTTTTCATGCTACGTGTGCAGTTTCATATGTTCAGCTTGACTTCTTGATGAACCTATCTAGCTTTCAGTAGTGATAGGAGAAGAAAAGAAGTACTAATAAGGAGAACATTTTCAAACCTCTAAAAAATATGCATCTAAGTCATTATAATGAATTCCATAGATGAGGATAACAGCAAGAATGATCATAAGACCTTTAGATGATAATCCTGAGCTAGACTTAAGAATGTCTCCCTCACAGAGTGAGTGCCTACAACCACGTTGGCTTATGAAGTTGGAAAACTGATATGCTTGTGTCAGATGACAAATATTCTAAGCAGATGAATTATTGCTTGTTATGAGTAGAAGTAGGGGGTTGTCAATTTTCTTAATTATCAAGTTGCAATTAGTTGCCACCACTGATGTTTTTGAAGTTCCAGTATATATCTATATGAAAGTGTCAAAATTCAACATATTATCTTAGAGGCAAATATTTCTGAGTCCTTTAGGGAGTTTGACTCATAGGAATACAGGATATTGCAACTGTAATAGCAATTTGTCAAAAATTGTTATAACTGCAGTTGCAGCTGTTTGGTTTGTAGCAGCTGCAGTATTATGCAAATGTGGTTGTCAAAATGTGTGTTGTGGATCTAGCCCAAGATAAGACCCACATCAGATTCACATGAATTAAAATTCTATCTAGAAGAGGATTTGGATGATCTATTTATAATAGGAATAGGTTTGAAAAATTCTATTTATAAGAACCTTGAATTTAATTTTGGTGCTACAGTAACTGAAGAGAATACAGGAAAAACCACAGAAAACATGTTTGGACTTCCAGCGGTCGACCGCGAGTGGCGCGGCGGGCGACCGCAAACGTGCACGCAAGCTGGAAAAGTCTCTGGACTTTTCGCGGTCGACCGCGATTGGCGCGACGGTCGACCAGCCAAACACTGTAATGTTTTTCAGTTTCTGTCGTTCTATCCGGTTGACCGCACGTGTCTCTGAGGTCGATCGCGAGTCGGGCTGGGCCTGAGTTTGGTTTATTGTTCGCATTGGGTTTGTGTTTTGATATAAATTAAAACACGATTTTCTAGGGTTTCTTAACAGAGATTTTAGATTATACTGAGCATATTGAGAGAGAGAATTTGTGAGCGAGTTGAGAGATTTGGTTTAGGGTTAGTGTGAGTGATTTTGTGAGATTGTAATCCTTTGTACTCTCCTTGATTTAGTGGAATCTCCCCATCCTCTCCCCGTGGACGTAGGCAAATTGCCGAACCACGTATATCTCTGTGTTTGGTTTGATTTGTCATATTTGGTTCGAATTGTGCTCGTGTGCGGTTGGTTCTCCTCTCCCGTGATTACAGATTCGTTCGGTGTGCGAGCACGCTTCCGCATAGGCACGCAACAATTGATATCAGAGCTCAGATTTTAGATCTAGGGTTTTGGCATTAGGTGGAGGAAGATTCGTCGTGGAAGCTTGGTTCTTGGAGTTCTAGGCTTCGGTGGAGATAGGGTTTGAAGTTGCCGTTGAAGATCTCGCTTTCTTCGTGTGGTTAGTAGTTCTATTTGGAATCCAATCTAGGATTCAGTTGGGTAATTCCTCAATCCTTTCAAAGTTTGAATCTTTCTTTGTAATTTGAAGTCAGTGATTATGGGTGAAGAAGTTGGTGAAAATAGTAAGATGACGGATACAGTTCAAGTTGGATTTCAGAACACTAAGATTAGTATGGTGAAGTATTACGACAAGATCAATTTTGGTTTGTGGATGAGCGATGTTTAGGATGCGCTAAATGCTCAGAATTTTGAGGAGACCATCATGGTCCATGAGAGGCCACCAAAATATGGTGACAATATAGGAAAATATGAAGAGGAACGCTTGTGGGGTGATCAGGTCTTGTTTGGAACAGGAGCTGAAATATGATGTGATTGGAGTGAAGTCTGCAATGAAGATGTGAGGAATTCTCAACAACAAGTACCTTACAAAGAGTGTTGAGAACAGATTGCACTTGCTGCGCAGGTTATTCAGATTTCATATGTCCAGAGGCACCTTACTAGCAGTTTATGTGAACAACTACACTAAGTTGTTGTCGGACTTGGCCAATATGGATGAGAAGATATCGGATGAGTATAATGCTATTATTCTTTTGAGCTTCTTACCAGATGAGGAGTATGATACCTTTGTGCTTACATTGTTAAACAGGAGATCTTCTATCACTTATAGTGAAGTGACTAACGCTTTGACGAATTATGATTTGAGGAGGAAGGACAATGAGACTTCCCGCGCTAGTACTTCAGGAGAGGCCTTGTCGACGAGAGGTAGAAGCGTATATCCAAGAGGTGGCAATAGAGACAGGTCAAAGTCAAGGGGCCATTACCAGCTAGGAAAGAACCAATGTGTATTCTGTAAGGAGCAGTGATATTAGAAGAGAGACTGTCCAAAGATCAAGGAGAAGAAGAATAGCAAGAAGAAGGGTCCGAAGGCTAATGATGTGAATGTTGCGAAAGACGATGATTCCGATGATTCGAGCTTTTCTCTATTGATTACTCTGGAGGTGAACCACTTGGATACATCAGATTGGATACTTGATTCTGACGCTACTTATCATGTGACTCCTAGGCGAGATTAGTGTTGGACCCTAGAGGGGGGGTGATTAGGGTCTTATGCTAATCTAATCCGATTTAAATGCCAATTAAAAACTAATTATCAAGTTATCCTAGCAAGTATGAAATACAATAATATTTGTAAGCTAGGATAAGCAATATGAACAATAAGATATATCCTAAATGATGCAAGGATATATATAAACTAACACAAGGGGTAAACAATCTAAACAAGATAGTGGATGATATAGATAATGAGCTAATGACAATGACGATATAAGATATGAA